AGTACAGTTGACCCTTGAACAACACAAGTTTCAATTGCTTGGGTCCACTTGCAGATTTTTTTTTTTTTTTGATAAATATGGTATAGTACTGCACATGTACTTTTCCTTGTGATTTTTTAAAAATGTTTGTTTATTTTGACAGGGAGGGAGGGTGTAGAGAAAGAGAATCCCAAGCAGGCTCCACACCATCAGTGCACAGCGTTGACACGGGGCTTGATCTCCCTGTGAGATCATGACCTGAGCCAAACTCAAGAGTCAGATGCTCAGCCAACTGAACCACCTAGGCACCTCTTTCTTGTGATTTTCTTAATACATTGACTTTTCTCCAGCTTGCTTTATTGTAGGAATATAGCATATGATACATAAAAACCCACAAAATATGTGTTAATTCATGGTCTAAGTAATTGCTAAGGCTTCCAGTCAGTAGTAGACTATTATTAATTAAGCTCTTGGGGAGTCAAAAATTATACATGGATTTTCAACTACATAGAAATCTGTGCCCCCTAACCTCCATGTTGTTCAAGGGTCAGTTTTGAGGATTAAAGATAAAGTTGAAGAAATCTCCCAGAAACTAGGAAGCAAAAGACAAAGGTGAAGATGCAGAAATGAGAAAAAAGATGATTACTTTAGGAGATCTAGTTTCTTCACAAGAGTTCTTCAAAGACAGAACATTGAAAACAGAAAGGATAGTAAATAAAACCAGAAGTTTTCCTAGAACTGAAGGAACATGTGTCTTCAGATTCAAATGGCAGTTGAATGCTCAGCACAATGGATGTAAAAAGACCAAGATCAAGATATGTTATTATTCTTGTGCCGCCTGGCTGGCTTAGTTGGTTAAGCATCCAATTTCTTGGTTTCAGCTTGGGTAATGATTTTGCGGTTCCTGAGTTCAAGACCCATATTGGGTCTTCTGACTGTAGAGCCTGCTTTGGATTCTCTCTCTCTCCCTCTCTTTCTGTTCCTCCCCCGCTGTACTCTCTCTTTCTCTCTCTCGAGATAAACTAAAAAAAAAAAAAAAAATTATCCTGGAATTTCAGAACAACAGGGGCAAAGAATGTCCTGAAATATACAGAGAGAAAAAAACAAATCATTATATTAGGTAAAAAAATCAGAATGCCATCAGACTTTTCATTAACAATACTAGAAGCTAGAAGATAATGGAGTGATGCCTTCAAAATTGGAGGGAAAATTGTTCTATATCCAGACCAAAATTTAATGAAGGTAAAATAAAAGTATTTTCTGACATGTAAAAAAAAAAAAAAATCTCAAAATATTTACATCTTCAGGAATTTCTGGAGTTGGTTTTTTAATAAAATAAAGGGAGTAAATCGAAAAAGGAGATAGGATCAGGACACCTGGATGTCTCAGTTATTTGAGTGTCTGACTCTTGATTTCAATTCGAGTCATGATCTCATGGTCATGAGATTGAGCCCAGCCAGAGTCAGGCTCCACGCTGAGCATGGAACCTGCTTGGGATTCTCTCCTTCTCTTTGCCCCTCCCCCACTCATTCTTGCTCTTTCTCTCTCTCTCTCTCTAAAAATAAACATTTTCTTTACAAAAGAATCTAAAAAGATCTAAAGAATCCAACACAAAATTGAGGAAAGGGTATTTCTAGGGTTATAGGATGAAGGGAGGTAACAGCTGGGAAGCAAATCTAGAGAGCAACCAGTCTATATTAGAGCACATTAGAAGGCTTGGAGAAAGGCGTTTGTAACAAAAAGTGATAGTATACTGAATTGAAGAGGACTATACTTGTAGCAGATTGAGGGATGAATTAAAAATGGTTATGTAGAAAACTAAGCAAACGAAAAAGGCAGTTAACTCCACAGGGGGAAAATAAAGTTGTATAAGAATGGAAATTTAGTCACAGAGCACTACTTGACTCAACATTTTTATTAGTCCTAATGAATCACAAGAAATACATAAGAAAGCTAAGAGGAAGGAAAGTGTATGTGCGTGGGAGGAGAGAGGATGAGAATTGGTGAAAGACCACTGAATCCATATCTTCCATTGTAAGATAATAGGCAGTGCCTAAAACTGAAAAATACGGAAGCAGCAAACTTAAGTATGTTACTTAAAAATGTGGACATACGTTTTGGAGATAGTCATTCTTCACCAGTGGCCTTGAAAAACTAGTTGTTCTTTTAAAATCATAAGCATGTGTAATTTGATAAAAATTAGCAAACAAAAAAGGGGATAAAATATTAACAGTTGGAATCATGAGTGATTTGTTTTCTTAATACATTCTTATATTTCACATTTTCTACATTGATAGTTTATTCTTAGTCCAGAAAAAATTTTCCATTATTCACTATTAGTCTTCATTTTTCTTGACTATTTTTCATATGTTAAGAATTACTAATTTGTAACATTTTATTTCATATGGTTTCTTTATAAAGACGTTTATTTCCTAAATATCAGAAAATACCATTGTTGTGTGTTAGGAATAAATACTTGATCCCACATGAAGTTTGTGGTCTAGGGGGAGAGAAATATGTTAATTAATTATTGTATAGATTTATATATGTAGAACACACAGTGGAAATAGAAGGTGAAAACAAAAAGAGACCAGAAGCAAGCAGGAAAATAATACTTAACATAGACTACAGTGAAAAACAAGTGTAAGTGATGACTCCCAGCTTTCTGGCTTCGGTGACTGGGTATATTTAGGTACTGGTCATTGAGAATAGAAATAGATAAAAGATAAGGTAGAAATTTTAATGAACTCTCTTTGGGACCTATTGGTTTCAACTATTGTCTTGAAATACAAATATATTCATTCATTAATATATCCAGGATATTTGTGTTTGGAACTCAAGAGAGAGGGCTAAGAAAGAGCAAACAAGAGAATGAAAATAAATGAATGGATTGCATAATTGTCAATCATATTCAAACAGACTGGATGAGATCTCCAAATAGATAACATAGACTAGAGCATGAGACCATGAATCAAGGACAGAGCCCTAGGGAAACAATCATTGGCTTAGATCTTTATGGATCCCATTTCATAGGACTGATGATAGCATCATTGCAGGTAGAAGAATGAAGAGTCATAAAGGTCAAAGCCTCAGAACATCATTTCAAAAGCTTGACTGTGAAGGAAAAAAGATTTGGCTAGAAGAGGGAAATATAGGTTTAAACAATTTCTTGTTTTATCTGTGTTTCATTTCTTTATTGCCTTTTTTTTCTAAGATGAAAGAGACTGGCCTCTAAGAAAGGAGACAATCTGGGATGCCTGGGTGGCTCAGTCAGTTAAGCCTCTGACTTTGCTCAGGTCATGATCTCACCATTTGTGAGTTCAGGCCCTGCGTTTGGCTCTGTACTGACAGCTCAGAGCCTGGAGCCTGCTTTAGATTCTGTGTCTCCCTCTTTCTCTGCACCTCCCATGATCATGCTCTCTCTCTCTCTCAAAAATAAATAAACATTAAAAAATTTTTTTAAAAAACAGACCCAATCAAAAAGAGGTTTAAAAACATAGACAGAAGGAGATAAGCAACAAACAAAAGAAATGAAATGACTAACCAGGCACGTCCTGGTTTTGTGGAGCCCAAAGTTTACTTTATGTGGTAGAGGAGAAGAGAGCTTAAGAACAGCGTCAAAGTAATGAATACAAAATTAGATACAAGACACTATAATGGGAACATGAAAGTGAGAGCCTTAAAACCTAAGATTCATTAATTCTAGGGCGTCTGGGTGGCTCATTGGGTAAGCATCTGACTCTGTCTTAGCTCAGGTCTTCATCTCATGGTCGTGAGTTAGAAACCTCTTGTTAGGCTCTGCACTTAGGCATGAAGCCTATTTTTTTTAAATTAGGTTTCTTTTGAGAGACACCAATACCATGTGAGTGGGGGAGGGGCAGAGAGAGAGAGGGAGAGAATCCCAAGCAGGCTCTGCCTTGCCAGTGCAGAGCCCAGCATGAGGCTCGAACTCATGAAACCTCAGGATCATGACCTGAGCTTAAACCAAGAGTCAGACACTTAACTGAGTGAGCCACCCAGGCGCCCCAATGCCTTAAAAAAAAAGAAAAAATTCATTGATTCTGAATAAATCCTTATCAGTTCCTAACAGTTTAAATTCCTTGGAGATGGGAAAGAAGATGATTAAAAACATTGGTAGTGATAGTAGCCTTAAACAAAAGGGTAATACTTCCCTTGAGACTTACTCTTGAATATACATTCTAAGAGGCCAAGAAGCTTGTTCTTGCCATTAATTTACCTGCAAAAGTTGGAGCAGTGCAGGGGCGCCTGGGTGGCTTAGTCGGTTAAGCATCCGACTTTCGCTTAGGTCATGATCTCGCGGTTCGTGGGTTCGAGCCCCGCGTCGGGCTCTGTGCTGACTGCCAGCTCAGAGCCTGGAGCCTGTTTCAGATTCTGTGCCTCCCTCTCTCTCTGACCCTCCCCTGCTCACGCTGTTTCTCTCTCCTAGAAATAAATAAATAAAACAAAAAAAATTAAAAAAAAAAAAAGTTGGAGCAGTGCTTATTAATAGGTACTCAGTAAATATTTGCTTTTGTTTTTCTTGTTTAAAATTTTTTTAATGTTTATTTTATTTTTGAGACAGAGTTTGAGTGGGGGAGGGACAGAGAGAGAGAGAGGGAATCACAGAATCTGAAGCAGGCTCCAGACTCTGAGCCAGCTGTCAGCACAGGGCTCAAACTCACAGACTGTGAAATCATGACCTGAGCTGAAGTCGGCCACCCAGCCGACTGAGCCACCCAAGCGCCCCAGGTAATTGTTGAACATATGATGAAATAGGAAGAAAAACGATCAGATTTAGTGCTCAAATAGCCCAGCTTAAATTTTAAGGAGGCAGCATCTTTGTAGTAGATAAGATCATCAGATGGAGGGTAGATGGCAATGAAAATGGAACTTGAAGAGAACAGTCATGATTTAGAATAAACACTGAGAAACGGAGGCAGAGGATATTGTGTTCTCAACAGAATGGATGAAATGACATGAACTCTGAAGAGACTAAATCTTCCTACTGTTTAATATTGCAGATAGTCAAACTGTTACTTCGTCATGGTGGAAATCCATTTCAAGCTAATAAGCACGGGGAGCGCCCAGTGGATGTAGCAGAGACAGAGGAGTTGGAATTGCTGCTAAAAAGAGAGGTGCCTTTGTCTGATGATGATGAAAGTTACACAGGTTTGTTTCAGATAATCTACACTGAACTGTTTGATGTGTTTAGTAAAACATTCTGATTCTGCTTTGCAATACAGAAAATGTTTGAGTCTTAGAATAATGCTAGCCGCTATTAAGAATGATGAATTTAGTAAGCTAAAATGATGAATTTAGCTACATGTCCTCTGTGTAAATGGAGCCATAATGCCATTGCCCTATTTTCATGACATCCCCACTGCCCCCTGGCAAACTGCTGTCACATTCAAGTCTACTGCAGAACCTTTCCCCATTAACGCTGTTACCCCTGCTACTCTGACTTCTTTCATTCTTTTATAAATTAGAGAGCTACTAACCAAACCCTTCCTGTTTTTCCTGGCATTAGTGAGTCATCTTTGCATTTTTACTTCTGTGATTTAGATGGTTGAACTTTGCTCATTGTTGCAAGGTAGGGGCACAGTTTATAAACATGGTGTTAAAAAGGAAAGATCTAAAAGAATATTTCAGAAAAATTTTGACATACTCAGTTTTGTTTTAAACATAAATAATTAAAAATATAACAAGAAAAAACTTTCCTGCATTGAAGAAAATCTTTTACATATAGTTTGGAAAGATTCATGTTTCAGGTAAAAATTAATGAAAAAGAATTTAAGAATCATAACTGGCTATATTCTCACAAAATTTTCCGTAAGAAATTAGGAAATTCTACTTATGTATAAAGGAATAAAAATCAAACCATACTCATTTAATCTTAGCAGCCATTGCTAGAAAGCAGTAAAGTTACAGCATCTATACTTTTGAGGCAGAAAGGTATATATACCCTTTACTTTTTTTTTTTTTTTTTGAGGCATAAGTGACATATTAGTTCCAAGTGTTCAACATAATGATTTGATGTTTGTGTACATTGCAAAATGATCACTACAATAAAGCAAGTTAATATCCATCATCCTACATAGTTAAAATATTTTATCTTTTTTTTCTTGTGATAAGGAATTTTATGATCTACCATCTTGGCAACTTTCAGATATGCAATACAGTATTATCACCATGCTGTACTTCCTGTCCCCATGACTTGTTTATTTTATGTTGGAAGTTTGTACATTTTGACCCTTTTCGCCCATTTTACGTAGTGTACCTCCAGCAGCCAGTAATCTGTTCTCTGTTTCAGTGAGCTTGGGGTTTTGTTTTGTTTTGTTTTGTGTGTAGATTACACATATAATGAGATCATACAGTATTTGTCTTTCTCTATCTGACTTCACTTGGCATGATGACCTTAGGGTTCATTGTAGATGGCAAGATTTCATTCTTTCTTATGGCTGGGTAATATTTTATTATATGTGTATGCCACATTTTTATTAACCAGTCATCCATAGATGGACACTTGGGTTACCTCCATTTCTTGGCTATTGTAAATAATGCTGCAGTGAACATGGGGTGCATATATCTTTTTGAGTTAGTATTTTTGTTTCTTCAGATAAATACCCAGAAGTGGAATTGCTGGATCTGATGGTAATTCCATCTTTAATTTTTTGAGGAACCTCCATACTATTTTCCATAGTGGCCATACCTATTTACATTCCTACCAACAGTGCAAAAGTCTGTTTTCTCCATGTCTTTGCTAACACTTTTTATTTGTTGTCTTTTTGGAAGTAGCCATTCTCACAACTGTAAGGAGATATCTCATTTTGGTATGCAGTTCCCTGATAATTAGTGATGTTGAACATCTTTTCATATACTGTTGGCCATCTGTACGTCTTCTTTGGGAAAATATCTATTCAGATCCTCTCCTCATTTTTATATTGAATTGTTTGCTTTTGAGTTGTATGAGTTCTCTATGTATTTTAGATATTTTTATGAGATGCATGATTTTCAAATATTTTCTCCCATTCACTAGGTGGCCTTTTCATGTTGTTGATGATTTCCTTTGCTGTGCAGAAGTTAGTATCCCATATTTTATTATTAACGTGTTTGGGCACCTGGGTTGGCTCAGTTGGTTAAGCATCTGACTTCAGCTCAGGTCATAAACTCGCAGTTCTGAGTTTGAGTCGGGCTCTGTGTTGACAACTCAGAGCCTGGGGCCTGTTTTGGATTCTCTGTCTCCTTCTCTCTCTGTTCCTCCCCTACACGCATTCTGTCTCACTCTCTCAAACATAAAGATTTTAGAAAGTTATAAGAAAAAAAAAGAAAATGTTCAAACGTACAGCAAACCTCAAAGAATTATGTAGTGAGCACTCTGTACCCACCAAGTACATTTTTTTAGTTGTTAACTTTTTACTGTATTTCTTCCATTACATTATCACATATCTATCTTCTTATTTTTTTATGCCTTTCAAAATAAATTGCAGACATTTCTACATACTTTGGCATGCATTTCATTAACTAGAGTTCAGTTTTTATGTATGATTATTTAAGATAATATTTATATTTGTGAAATTAATAATTCTTTAATGAAGCATTCTGGCTTTTGAGAAATGCATAGACCTGTATAATCCAGTCTTACCAAGATACAGACTATCTGTGTCATTCCAGAAAGTTCCTGAAGCGCTTTCCTAGTCAGTTTCCACCTCTGCCCAGTCATTTACACCTTTTATGGTAGAAATGATTAGGCAAGAATCACTAATGGCTGATAATCTAGAGGGGATTTTTTAATGATGAGCAGGATGTTTACATGGCCTTTTCACTAATATCACAACAGAGGAGGGAGGAAAACAGTGATGACAGAGAAGAGAAATTTAGCAGCACTGAACTGTGTGATCAAAATTAACATCATCAAAGGAGGGATGGATGAATATCATGTGCCTTCAGATGTGATACCATGAGAAGGATATAATGTTACTTTTGTAGCATTCTGGCTGTGAATGCATAATCATGAGGAATGTTCTGGTTTTTTTCTTTTTAAGAGCCAGTGCCATGAAAGATTAAGAAATGTCCATGTCATAAAGTGATAGAAATGTTCTAGATTATGGAAAGAGATAACAGTTAAGGGCAATACCTATTCCTTGACTGGATCCTATCCTGGAGGGGGAAAATGAGTGTATAAAGAATATTATTAAATCATATAAGGAATATGGAGAGTAGATTAGTGTTTTACCAGTGTAAATTTATGAAGTTGACAATATACTGTGGTGATAGATAATATTCTTAAATCTTGGGAAATATTTGCTGAAGTATATAAGGATAAAGAGCCATGATGTATATAATTTACCTTCATATAGTTCAAAGGAAAAAATGTGTGTATGTATATGTAGAGAGAATGCAAATTATAAAGCAAGAGAGTATAACAATAATAGGCAAATCTAGATAAAAGATAAATAATATTTATTATGCTTTCTAGCTTTCTGTGAGTTTGAAATTATTTTCAGATTAAATTCAAAATAAATACTGGGGCACCCAGGTGGCTCAGTTGGTTAAGCGTCTGATTTCAGGTCAGGTCATGATCTTGTAGTTCATGAGTTTGAGCCCTGAATCAGGCTCCACGCTGCCAATGGGGAGCCTGCTTAGGATTCTCTCTCTCTCCTTCTCTATTTCTTCCCATCCTCTATTTGCTGTTTCTCTTAAAATAAATGAACTTAAAAAGCATATATCTAGATATAGATATAGATAGATATATATCAGTACATAAACTTTCCTTGCTTCATGTGTTGAAAAGATGTAGAAGCAATGACATTAAGACAGTAAGCAATAATCAGTCATTACTAGTGCCCAGATTATAATCTTAAAATATATTCTACTTAAAAGAAAACCAGGATGGGTTCCCTGAGTGGCTCAGTCAGTTGAGCATCCAGCTTTGGCTCGGGTCATGATTTCACAGTTTGTGAATGCAAGCCCCATGTTGAGTTCACTACTGTCAGCACGGAGCCTGCTTTAGGGCCTCTGACCCCTTTTCTTTCAGCCCTTCCCCAGCTCATACTCTCTCTCAAAAGAAAACCAGGAAAAAAAATAGATGATTCTTTGTCTGAGACAGGATATCTGTAAAATAAACTTGGAACATCTTGTCATTACAGATTCCAAGGAAACTATCAAAACCTTGTCAAAAAGCCTTAGGAAGCGAGTTGGAGGAGTACCCCACTGGCCAAAGATGGGATAGTGTGAGCTTCAGTAAGGGTATTAGTTGCATCTCTGTTTAAATCCATGATTCCATAGTGATAAACTTTTAAATTAATTCACCATCAGAGACCTAATTTTTTATCTTAAAAATTAAGCAGAAATGGAAAATAATCATTTATTTTCCCTTTCCTATATGAACTTTATCACTGGGTAACTTTATAGGTGAGAAGTATTTTCTTTTATGATTAATTCACCCAAAAGAATGGGGGAAAAAGATGAACTATTTTGCAATAACTATTGCAGTGAACTATTTTGCAATAAAATTGAGGATCAATAGTTGCTAACATTAAATTAAAAAATAAAAAGAAAATATTGCAGTGTCCCCAGTGAAAGAATACAAATTCTCAGTCTTCAGGTTCCATCTGCAGCCTTCAGGAAATACCAGGGTTTGAGGGATATGCTGAACTGCATTAACCAAAATCTAGACTGTGGGAGATCCAAACAGTTTTGGTTCTTCAACATAGATTGCATGAAAATGAAAAAGGATAACCTATAGGAAAAAATTAAAATGTTTAAAAAGCATAAAAGATGAAAAACTTAAGCATGTATTTAATAGGCGAGTTATATGTTTCTGGGGTAATTTTGTATAAAACTCAGTCAAGATAAATGATACTTATAAGTTCCAGGATATAAGGGTTTTTTTTTTTTCTTTTTTAAGTTTATTTATTTATTTTGAGAGAGAACAAGCACAAGTTGGGGAGGGAGAGAGAGAATCCCAAGCAGGCTCCATGTTGTCAGCATAGAGCCCAGTGCAGGCTTAAACTCACAAAACCTCGAGATCTTGACCTGAGCCAAAACCAAGAGTCAGATGTTTAACCAACTGAGCCACCCAGGAGTCCCCAGGATATTAGATTATTTTTAATACTAAGAAATTCTTGGGGTGCCTGAGTGGCTCAGGTGTTTAAGCGTCTGACTCTTGA